TTATGTTATTCCTCAAAACTTAACACATAGATGGAGGAAAATCTTGAGGAAGGAAACCACATCATTTGTGAACACCTAAACGGAGACCACCTACAGAATTCCCCTGACTTTTTGACATCTGATTAAAAGGGAAGTTTCCCCAGGGGGTTATCTAAGATGTCGATTCGATTTAGCTAATCTTACTCCCGACGATCAAGTTCTGAGTCAGACTAATCTTAAGCCCAGCAGGAAAGATTGATCTACAAGCCAGGTCTGTCTAATCTCTCTCTGACCTAGTTTAGGCGTTGAAAGTGTGCACCGAACTATATTCTAAAATATTCTATACACTTTGTTGAATCTGCACTGTCATTTAAATCTATTCTATTCAGTTGCGAGTTAGGGGTGTGTAACAAACAACTAACACCGAGCATTTTTTTTTATGTAAATACAAAAAATAAAGTAAAATTAGAGTTTCGTGAACTTAGAAATAATTGGTTTTTCTGATTAACATTGTACATTTCCGCCTGCAAACATGGAAAAATGAGTATCATGATACGGTTTGACATTTGGGCTTTTATTACCAGATATTTCAAATATTCATAATTTTAAAACTTGTTTAACTTCTTAACAGAAAATATTTACGTTTGTAAAATTAGAACAAATGCATTTTTACTTTACTCGAGGAAAATATTTGAGAGTGGTAAAATTGCAGCAATAATTCTGATTAACATTGTAAACGTATTGTATTCGCACCATCCTTGCATGGCGGAGGGAGTAGGTCAACTTAAATAAATATACCAGTTAAAGTACTCATTAACCAATAGGTTATACTTGACTAATTGCTGATTAGGTCTCTTGATTTAAAATCACGTCATCACGTGACATTAATGATGTCTAGGAGTTGTGCATCGTGGTGTAGGTAGCTTGATTTTCATAAGTATACCAAGTCACTGAGAGCAGTGAATAGGTTATACAAGTTTTTGATCACGTCTCTTGATTTAAAATCACGTCATCACGTGATATTAATGATGTTTAGGACGTGTGCATGGTGTGATCGGTAGCTTTATAAGTATAACCAAGTCACTGGAAGCAGTGTATAGATATCAGTTGCTGATCACGTGTCTTGGTGGAAAATCACGTGTAATCCAAATTGAATGTTACTTTCATTTGCATAGAACATCATCTCTTTGGTTCCCTTACTTCCTAGACAAGCTGATGCGCATCGAACTGAAGCTAGATGGGCATCAAGCCACAACCGGGAATCGAACCTCATTGCTTCACAAAGACAGCTCTGTGCAGAGACCACTGAACAATCACGGTATTCCTAAGGACAGTGCTTGTTAAAATAGTTGCTTAATTGGCACTATAATTTTAGGCCCCGTAACTCCTAGAGGTAATTGGGTGATCCGTTCTCTCAAAAGAAAAGAAAAATCACAACATGAAAAGATAGCGAACACAGAATTGGAATCGAAAAGGAATAAAAAGTTACAACGGAATAAAATGCGTTTTTTCTTACAGCGAAAAAACTGGACCACCCATTTCTTTGGTCATTGCACAGAAAAAGGAACACATACGTTTAGAATGAAAGAAAATCTTCTGTGGATGATCCATGAGGCAGTTATCTTCGGAACTCTGGCAAATATTCCTGCTCTATATTTTAAATTTATGATTCTACAATGTTTTTACCACAACAGGGGAAGGAATAACCTCGAATACAGAAGAAAAAAAACAAAGAAGTGAAAAATGAGTTGGAGAATAAGATTTTTTGGGAAATTCAAACCTCAACGTTTTAAGAATAATTCTTTTCGCAATGTAGTTTATCGTAGACTTTTTCAGTAAATTGTGGCCAAAAGCTTTGTTCTTTATTTTACGGCAGTAACATTACAGCTTACATCGAAAAGTTTCTCTTAGTTAAATTGCATTCCAATCAAATCTTAAACAATGGTTACTTGTATTTGTCGATTTTTTTTTCTACCTTTGTTTTATAGAGTTTCTTAAACTTTGTATTGTTTAAGAATAAATCAGCAGCAATAGGTTTCATTTGGAACAAGGGTTCTAAAAATTTATATGTTTTACATTTGAAGTATAATTGTTATTTTATTTCTGATTTTTGGTATTAGTGTATAATTCAAATTGTCTTAATCTACGATTCATTAAAATTTTGGAGTTTTCAGAGGAAAAAAAATCAAATCATTAAAACCTTTTCTTTAATTCCAAACAATGTCACACTTATCGAATTATACATATAGTAATACAAAGAAATTTATTTTAAGTAATCAATCCTTTAATTAATATTATTTCGTCAATCCTATATTTAATATTCATCAGTTCATTAATCTTATTATTAAAATTAATTCGTTTATCAATTCAATTTTTAATATTGTTTACAGTTTATCAACAATATTTTATTAATGCTATTTAGTTTATCAATCTCATTATATCATTATTAAATTAACCCTAGAATGCTATTTATTTTTTGATTTCTACTACGATAGAGGCCTCCAACAATCATTCATGTGTTTTTCTCGATAACTAAAAGCAACGCAGGAGGTCATGGAGGTTAGAACAAGACAATTTCGTAATCAACGGCATAATTGTAGCAATGCGGTCAGAATTGCACACTGACCGTCTTCTATCCTAAATCAGCCGTTGCCCATCGATTTAAAGCTGCGTGAGCATCGAGCCGCTACTGGGGATCGAACCACAGTTCTTCATAGTGCCTTAAACATCGCGGCTTCCTTCTAGATCACTAAGCACATTAACACGGCTTTTTTTTTCTTCCTGCAACTGAAAATTTGTTTTAAACTACGTGGTAGAACTTTATTTACATTGCACTAGAGTTACACAATTGGCTATTAACGGACTGGAAAACATGCCTGAGGATGAGCCAAAAACATGGCATCATCACAATTTTGATCCCTGACGGAAGGGATGGCTCCCATGATTAGGTAGTTCGAACAGTTAGGTAGTAAAACAATTTAAAGAGGACACTCTCGGTCTCTTCATAGGCTAATCAAAGTGGTCACCCATCCGCTCACTGACAACAGTCAGTGATGCTGGACTTCAGTGATCACCTTCGGTCTTACGTATGATGGTCAAGGAGTTGAATCATTTCGTCACGAAATCACGTGATTTGTGGCAAAACGCGAACTCTCAAATACATGACGAAAATGTTTTACCAACTCGGAACCTCATCTCAGTGCATTGTGGGATATCGTAAACTAGAAGGACAAAACTAGAATGAAGACTGGGCAATCGAAAATAAATTAACGTAAGGAGCCGACCGGATGTGTGGTGGTCAAGGAGTAAACCTCATACCAGGAAGATCCCGGGATCGAATCCTGTTTCGGGTATGTGTGTTATTTATCTTTCTGCTCAGTCTTTCTTGTACTGTTAGGATCACATTGATCCACCTAGATGGTGCCCACTGAAAAGTGATATCAAGTAAAGTTAGAGATGTGTCTTTTTTTTCTTCTTTTTTTTAGGGGGGGGGGATATATAGTTATTTTGTCACTGACGAAATTTTTGCTGCTAGGAGCATATGCATGGAAACGGTTTCGTCAAAAAATTTTACGAATGTCGCAAAATTTCAGCATTCATTTTTTTTACAGTGTAATTCTAACACTTTTAACGCAGTTAAATTACTCATGACTAATATTTGCTTTTCGTCTTCTCATTTAACTTCGACATTTAAAAAATTTTTTGACACAAACAGGAGTAAAAACTAAATGTCAACAAGTTAAATCTATTGTTTATTGCATTTTAGAGATTTTTTGTTTATTTTTATATCTTACTATAAGTAACGCAGTGTACGCTATTAAATTATATATATATACGTATAGTTGTTGTGACTTTACGTCGCACTAGAGCTGCACAATGGGCTATTGGCGACGGTCTGGGAAACATCCCGGAGGATGATCCGAAGACATGCCATCACAATTTTGATCCTCTGCGGAAGGGATGGCACCCCCGCTTCGGTAGCCCGACGACCTGCGCGCGAAGTCGAGCACTTTACGGTAGCACAGTTTAACGAGGACCAATANTTTTTTTTTGTAATGATTTCTTTGCCTTAAATAAGGAGGGATAGAAGAAAAAAGGGAGAAACAGACAAAATTTAATTTGAAAATTTATCTTACAATGAGTTTAAAGGGAATATATTTAGTAGAAAAGGGAAAAGTCCAATTACGGATTTCTCCGAGTTTTATAAGAACCCCTAAATAGGTACTTAATAGAGATTTTAGGAGTTCACGTGTAGATTTTAGCTTTATATATATATATTTTCACGACACAAGCGTACATTTTACGTGTCACAAACAAGGCAATACTAATAGGAGACTCAAATAAATAACGCAAGAATAAATTTTTCCTCATTTTAAATGATTTTCTTTCGTTTTTTATCGTTTAAAGGAAGAGATAAGTTAAAAATACTCATAAATCGGAAAACAATAAAATAATTTTCAGAATGAAATCTCGAACCAAAGAATTTTCAAAAATTTCATCAAATTTAATCAGATAGCTTATATTTTTCTAAATTGTTTGTTGTTAAATGAAAATAGAATTCTATTTATAGCACATATAAATTTAACGATGAATTGAAATGACAGCTATATTGCTAATTTAGAGTACGATAAAATAAATAAACAAATTAAATTAAATTATAATCTTATATTAAAAAAATCTTGGATGAAATATTCAATTTATATCTGATAAATTTTACTGTGGGAAGTGAAATATAGTTTTCAATATACGAACCAACATAAATTTTTTAAAATTCTTCACATTGAAATTTAATGGTTCTGCTTTTTTGTGATATTTTACAGATTCAGCTGCTTTTTTTCTGGTGCTTTTTTTCTCGATTCTTTTTTTATGCCTCACATAAAGTTCCTTTTTTTTTTACATCCCTTTATTCATTTCCTTTTACTACAAACAAATAAATGTACGTATTATGTTCCAATAAAAATAAATAAAAAAAGAAAAAAAAACAATTAGATACCTCGAAACAGTTTTTTCTTTGTCTCCGTCTTATGAGAATGATTATTGCTTAAGAAGATACAGTGGTCAAAGAGATATCTGTGTTGAGGAGGTGGATCTGTAAGCAATAAATAACAATTTCTTCCGACATTAATCTGCGGTGGCGTGTCAGGGGGAGGATCTAATGTAGCCATAGAAATAAGTTTTCTGCTACAAAAGAAAGTTTTCACCCTTTTTTCTCCCTTACAAGAAGCTGAAACGAAATTTATGTTTCTTCGGTATGGAGCATTAAGTTAATACATTGTTTTATAGTTTTTGCGTTTAAAGAACGAATTGCGATAATAAGCAACCATTGAGCCTATTGCGCTAGCATAACAATGAGGCGATCCAAGTTCAAATCTCGGCAATGGCTGGTGGATGTAGACGACGTGTACTACTACAAAAGTTGCACCGACTACAGTGCTGACGAAAAATATTTCCTGCATTTAATGGGTTAAACCTTGGCCAAAGAATACCTTTTGTTCGCCATGGGTTAAACCATGGTTAGACTATCCGGGTACCCATTTGGGGGTTCCGTTCTTCACGTGATGTGGTTAGTCTCTTTCGAAATTTGTCGATTAAGGTAAACCTTAACACCTTAATCGACATTCACGAGCTTTGTTTTCTGGGTTAGGTTCAAAATTAATTAAGCAGGTGGGCATTGCTATAGTCACGAATTTAAAATGAATTATATATTCAACACTGCACTGTGGGCCAGAAGACCATGATCTTTGGCCTAAAGTCAAAAATTCAATTTTCAACTAAAATATGTGTAGGCAGTTTTAATATAGCCCAAATTAAGTATTCATAATCATTCCAAACATTATTATTTACTTTTTGGACCGACGAGAGTACAATGCAATGAAAAATATGTTAAAATTTTTTTCTTAAATGCAACTTTTAAATTTTTATTGCAGAAATATTTATAGGAATTTCACCTTACTGTTACATTTTTATCAGAGGAATTAGTCTGAAATTATTGTACAATTTTTCAATTTGTTGGATTAGTTAATACTTTTGACAAACTTATAGTTTATATCTTATCATTCGACATTTTACAATGTTTGAATGACTTTCGAAACTTAGTTCCAAAAAGTTCCACTAAGCAATTAGTTAAACTTTTTTTTTGCTATCTTCTTTGATATTTCTTCTTTCAGAAAAACCTGCCCCATTTTGCCCGTATTGCAAAGGTGAACTAAATATACCGAAAAACAAAAATCATGCTTTTTTTTCATGTTTTCGCGTTATTGTTTTCAATTTTAATACAAAATGACGAAAATTATTATATTTTCATTGCTATATTTAATTATTTAAACGTACTACATTATTTTTTTTATTTTTGCTCGCCATATTTCAGTCGCCATTTTGTTTTTTTGGGTATTTTAAACGTATTTCAAAATTTCAACTATGAATTCTATTTACCTGCACATAAAAACCACTAAATAAAAAACCCCAAATTTTGAAACAAATTTTATCGAAATACTAATTTCGGCCACGAAACCTTGGATGCAGGCCCACTGTGCACTGGTAAAAAAAAAATAAAGAAAGGAACAATTAAGAGGACATCATAACGCGGGAGAAACTTCTCATCGCAAATTCTCTTTCACCACCATAAGTAATTTAAAATTTAAATTATAGAAAAAGTGAGTTCAGGCAAACCTAGAGAAAGCCAACTGCTGAAAAAAGAAAATATCAAAATGAAAACAAATTATTCTAAGAGAATTTCCCCAGTGCTTAATCCTAAGTTATCTTCTCATAATTTATTTTTATTTTGATGTTAGAAAAATTTTATTTTAGTATTTCAAACTTTATGGCTTGCTCTAAATTCACTTTTTCTATGTTATAAATCTTAAATTACTTATAAAGGGGAAAGAGAATTTGCGATGAAAAGTTTCTCTTGTGGTAGCGTCCTCTTAACGCAGAAAAGGCTCAGGAGATAAAACGCTCGCTTAAAAACGGCAATGGTTCGAATCCTGACGATGGCTGATCGATTTGTAAACTCCTCCCGAATTTACATCCACAGAGTTGATGTAAAATATCCAGTGGTGGACTAACCATTGGGCACATCGTCTTACCATCAAGCTAACCATGAGAGGTTTTTGTGTGTTTTCATCTTTTGTGGTTTCGTAATCAACAGCCTGATAGTTTCATTCTCCCTTAAGTCTTACATTAAAGCAAGTTTGTACTAGTGCTTGATCCTGGAATGCGAATTTTTTTTTTCCATTTATAATTGTTCGAAATCCATTAATCCTTTAAGAACGCAAATTATGATGATACGAATTAGAAAACGCGCAGTCAGAGCCGCGACACCTCTGGAAATATAGCGCTCGCCTCCTAATGAGGTGAACCAGGCTCGAGTCCCTGTGCTGGCTGATTGATACGAATTTCGTTCGATACGCTGTTGTAGTTCATTTAAGTCGCACTAGTGCTTCACAATGGGCTATTGGCGACGGTCTGGGAAACATCCCTAAGAATGATCCGAAGACATGCCATCACAATTTTGATTCTCTGCAGAGGGAATGGCACTCGCGCTTCGGTAGCACGACGACCTGTACGCGAAGTCGAGCACTTTACAGTAGAACAGTTTAACGAGGACCAATACCGCACACCCTCGGTCCCTACACAGACTGATCCAAGTGGTCACCCACCCGCACACTGCCCGCAGCCAGTGATGCTTGACTTCGAGGATCTGTGATAACCGTGTCTTAACGATCAGTCCACTGCGGGACTCTCAGTGGTAGATGGATAATGAATTAAAATTCCCTTGTGTCGGGCTAATTGTACGGGGTTTCCGAGGTAATATTCTTCATGTAACGCAAATGTGGGTTAGTTCCATCGGAAAGTCCTCCTCGAGGACTAGTTTACCCCAAGAGCAATTGGCTTCAAAATTAAAATGCTACGGAGTTAATGAGCATTAATAGTCTTAAACTCAAAATAGTTTCAAAATAGGCTGTTCAACAGCGGTTTCAAAATAAAGTATTCTTTATCTATCTTTGAAACGAACTTAGCAGGTTAGTAGAAGGGAAAAATAAAAGAAAACTTACTATAAACAATAATTTTCGGAATAAACTCTGATATAGCAGTACTAAATTATTAATACATGACTTTTAAAACATTAATGCATTACTTTTTTTTAAAATTTCTCGTTTAGAATAAAAGAATGGTTTCAAGAAAATGTTGAAATTGAATGTTCTATTTTGTAAATGATTACTAGAGATTTGACAAAAATTATCCGTCGACTATAATGATTATGGTTATATACTTGTAAAACTATGTAAAATTAATGTTAAATTCATTTATTTATTTATTCTGGTGACTTAAATAAGTATGGAGAATTTATTAATAAAAATTCAATTAAAAATGGCTGAAGATATTAAATGACATTGAGATTATTGTTTTAAAAAAAAAACTAAAATTAAAAAGTCACAAAATCGTTTGAGAAATTATACGAACTCAAAATGTTTTTGCATTAATTGAAATATTTTTAATTTCTTTTATTTTTAGTTTGGCATTGCGGTTTTAACATTCAGGAATTTTTTTGTTTGTTTGTTTAATTTCTATTTTGTTAGCATAGTTAATTAGAAAAGATCCAAAATCGAGATATTTGTTTTAAAGAAAAAAAAAATTAAAAAAACGAAAGAAATTGAACAATTTCGTACGTTGAACCATTTACAACGAATCGGAATTAGTTTTTTTTTCTTTTTTCTTTTTTGCTTTTTCTCCTAACATCTATTTATTTATTTACTTTTTTCAACTTTTTCGATACAAAGCGGAGAAAAAACTTAGTTTCGATTTCTTTTTTTCTCAACTCTTGTATTGAAAAGAAATCGAAAGTAAAACGAAGGAATACGTTAGCGCTAATTGTAGTCTTAGTTTACCCAATACAATTAGATCCTTTGAGACAAAAAATAAAATAAAAAAATCGTCCGGACGGAATGAAAAGTTTTTCTTTTTAAGAGCAAAACTCGAAAAGAATTGGTGGGTTTCAAATAGGAGAAGGAAAAAAAAAAATTCTATTCAGGGGGACACAAGAAGTACAAGTAATTCTGTCAGTTTCTTCCTTCTCGTTATCGTGTTTATATAAGAAAATCGTTTGAAAAAGAACATTTTTCCAAATGAGAACACGACTCTCATTAGGAGATCGTCTGCAGCTTTATTTTAAATTTGAGACATGTTTTCAGAAATTCTTTTGAATATTTAAAATGCAACGATAAATATTCGTTATTTCAATATGACGAGGATGTTAAACTGACAATAATTGGAACTCGGATGATCTATACGAGATAATTTTGTCAATATTTTGAATAGTTTCTGGTTGTGGATAAATAAAATTTAATGAGATTTTCGCATTGAAAGCAGAAAAATTATTTATTTAAGAACTATATAATAATTATTGAAAGCGTTATTTTATGTACTTAATTCGGAAAAATGTTCTCTATAATATACAGTGTTATAAAATAATAAGCTGAATTTGTATAATGTATAATTCTTTTAATATTCTTCACAATAATAATCGTAATTCATGTATTGCAAATTAAAATTTCAAATTTTGAAGAAAAAAATTATAATTGAAGGATAATTAAAATATTGAACTTAAAAGAGTTAAATAACTTTCTTCTCCTGCTATTAATAACACAGCTATTTCCGACAATATAGAAGAAAAAAAAACGAGAATTAACAATCTATCCTTAGATTAATATAACCATATTTCAACAATACTAATGATAATAACAACACAAAATATGCTTTTAATGATACAAAGAAAATTAATGCAGTATTGTGCAATTATAATGCAAAATATAATGCAATAAAAGACAATTAATCTCATGAAATGGAATTGAAATATCAAGCGATAAATATTAATAAATAATAGCAAACGATATATAAGGGTCACATAAAAAAGATTTAATAAGCGATTTTATCTTAAGTTTGAAGACATTTTTATATTGAAAGTTATTGAGAAAATAATTCCAAATATTTTTACACAGTTCTTCTATTTCCGAAATCAAATTAATGCTACTAAAAAATGTTGACAAATGATATTTTTTCTTGTCAGAGAATAGTGGGTAAAAAGAAAGATGGACGTCAGACAGGCGCAGTTTTGGTGCCAGCCAGTAACATTAATAACAGTAATCTACTCGTTTTCTAAGTTTTTCTCTTCTTTTCCTTTTTTCGATTTTCTCAGCCATTTTCTCTAATTAATTAGCCTGACAACTGTCAGTTAATCAATGTTTTATTCTTTCTTTCACTTTATTTTTCTTTACGTTTAAACAATGCTTTCTTTGACTTGTTTGCGTTAATTATCAAAACAAAAACACATCTTTATCTCCAGATAAAGATGTGTATAATGTGTCCAGAAATATTTATGATTATACTGGTTCAAATAATGGTTGTTAGATGTTAATATAGCATAGTTTGCAACATTATATGCCGAATTTCTGCTGAAATATTTATTTTCTTGAAATAATGGAGTTATAAAATCAAACATCAGAATTTTAAGTATTTGCAGTATTAAGCTGAATTTCTTAGAAGTAGTTTCAATTCTTCATTTAAACAATAAATTAAAATCATAATTATGTT